GAGCAGCTGGGGAACCTTTTACAGCTTTTAACAGTTACAGAGACACATATTTCACCAAAACCATGAGATAGGCACACCATGCCCTATGAAGAGCACACTGCTTAGTAGCTGCTGAATGTGGATATAAGCAAGCAGTTTTGGAGGGTGCTTTCTTTGAGATGAAACGAGTAATGATTTCTAATGATGATAATGATTTAGATATAATAAGCTCTTTGTGATTATTTTTTTGCATGGCCCAAACAGATGAGATCCAATTGTGATCTGTTGTGCAGTGTTGAGCAGTTTATCTTTGACCACTCAGGCAGGGAGCTTAGGTTTCTGCCAGTGCTTAGGATCTGTCGTTCCAGCCATGGCGACAGTCCCACATTATTAGGTTTAAAGTGTCTAATCTGCTCAGTGGTTCTTTGCTCGTCCCAGTTGTGTCATATAACCTTTTCTGCCCAACATTCGGATCTATTATCCTCCTGCATTACCATTTCTTGTTACTCCTCGCTTGTGTTGTTTTTTTTCCACTTGCTCTTCTATGAGCTTCATGAATACTGCAGTTCCGGCAGTTTAGTGGAGAACAAGCAGAGCCTGATTTTAATGAATTATTAGCTCTCTTCTGATTGCGGATGCTGATCACTGAAATCGACTGCACTGGTTTCTCATTCCTTGTATTAGCAGTTAAAATTAGGTTTAAAGTAAGAATTCACATCCAGATCCACAGAGTAACTGAGTGTGGAAGGTGTCCACTGTGATACAATGTTTATTTCCTCCTAGTTTCAGCCTCTTCATTTAGTTGTTTTTCTTCTCATTAAATCAAACATTTTTCAACCTGATCTGTGTGCTACATGACAAGTCACCCAGGAGACAATCTTTCAAAAAAGATAAATGCCCCATCAAACTGTCACTGTCACAGTGGTGTTCGCCTCCCTCATACAGACTTCGAAAGGGCTACAAGTCTGTCAGCACACATCAACACGGCTCATCAGAACTAAATGGTGCACATTAATCTTAAAAACTACGATGTGGGAATTTGGTCTTAAACACAGTCTGTGATTTAATGAGCTTCACAACATCTGGGCTTTGATTATTTACTTAATGACTGAACCAAATTATTCAGGTATTAGCACAGCCATTGAAACTGTCTGCACATTTTTCTGATACATTGGAAATTTATATTTCTCTATAGCCGAGCTTATTGATTTCTCCTTTAAAATGTAGTGGTGCACTTAGTGGGATGAGCTCATTGTGATTCTGCGTATCATCAGGTCTGAGCTGATCTGTTTGTATCCATGTGTCTCTCTCATAACACGTCATGACGTTAATAGTTCAAAGTCATATGATGACCCACTAGTATAAATCAGGTAATTGGGATGCGTGCAACAAAACAAAGGCACAGTAATTGCAAATTCCACACACACTGGAGACCAATTAAGGACAAAGGATTGTCAGCCAACAATTCCTCAGACACTTCTTTGAAATTGCTAAAACTCTAAAGCTGACACAAGCACAAATGTGCTGCTCAGGCAACAAACTGTTTCAATTAGTCTTAAGGGGTTATTTCACCCAAAGTGGAACTACAAGAAGTAGGAGAAGTTTCTGATTCTTGATCTTCCCCTTTTGAGATGTTTTTTTTTAATAATACATAGATCTTAAAGGGATAGCTCACCCAGAAATGAAAATTCACTCAGTATCTACTCATTACTGTGTCAATGGAGTTTCAGGGGTAAACAGTGTTAGAGCAGAATTCACAACAACTGAAGCAACTGGTGACCAAATCTTCAGACATAATCAAACAACAGAAAAAACATAACATGCCTCTATACTGCTCGTGTGATGTCATCCAAGTGTCTGAAAGCCCCGATATTCATGTTTGACTTGAAGCGGCATCATTTACACCATTTTGTTTAGCCTAAATGCCTGCTGATATCAGATGTTGTGCCTTCAGGGAGTCGTCCAATAGCTTAGCCCCTTCTGGTGGACGATTAGGCTTAAAACATGGTGTAAATGACGCCGTTTCAAGTCGAATATGAAAATATTAATATGAATACTGACTGAAGAGCCTGATGAGGTACTTGTACCTGTGACTCATGTGCTCAATTTGATGCTCACAAATTGGTGCTTCGGGCTTGTCATTATAGTCATGACAGCCATCATTTTTCAATCAACTGAAACACAGATGTGGACACTGAACAGATACAGTGATCACAAAAACAGGAAGCCGGGGTCCTGCCCTCTTTTGAAGCTGCAGTCAACAATATTTCTTTATATTAGCAATAGATCAAATGTCATCAGGCCTTACAGTCACCGAGATGATGTATAAATGTGGTTTGGAGCTGTGCCTAAAGTTAAAGTGTCGGCTGATATAGGCTTCTCAAAATGATCTCACTGTGGAAAGATGGTATTTTATGGAGCAGCTCACCAGGAGTAGAAAAGCACAGAAGGTCAAGTCCTATTGAATCATGTCAGAAGAGTTTAATGATTAATGAAGGTACCAGAGGAGCTGTCAGTATTTGCTCTGCCAACAAGTTGTTGTGACATTAACATGACATGCTCTATTAACAACATAGTTCACACTTTGTCTCTGCACTGCACACAAATCACTGTGACAGTTTTCCTTTTTCACTTGTAGCTCTGAGATGTGACTTGTGAGTATTGATATTAAACACTGTTTGAATAATTCAGACTTTCTGACCAATTGCTGGAAGTTGGTGACGCTGGTAGTACTACGAGAATAATATATCATAGTCTAGGTCAGAGATGTCAAACTCAAGGCCTGTGGGCCACTTCCGGCCCGTGGTACAATTATATCCGGCCTGTGATAAAATATCATATTTCTATCTTTCCCCACCGGTGCGCAATGCCCGGCTAGACGCACACGAGAGAGAGAGCCCTACTTTCATCTCGCAGAGTGGGAGCCAGACGGCATGCATGGGCTTCATAAGCCAAGCCATGGTGCGCAGTGCCTGGCTAGACGCACACGGAGTGAGCGCTCCTCTCCACTCACTCGTATTTGACAATATTAGATTATTTGCCCAGTGTTCCAGAGATCCCAAGTTCACCATGTCTCTCAGTCTTCTCTCTCTCTCTATTTTTTCTTCCATCTTCCTCGCTCCATCTCGCTCTGGCCAGAGAGCCAGGCAGAGTGCACAGGCTCCACATGGCCGAGCCACGGTGCCCGGCTAGACACACACGGATCGAGTGCCCCTCCTCACCTGCAGAGTATTTGGTGTTATTAAATTATTTTTCCGGTGTTCCAGAGATCCCAGTGCCTGTGTGCTGCTGTCTGTGTCCCGTCAACTTCACCATATGCTTTTCTCTGTGATGAAGATGAACAAAAACTCACACAGGAGTCATCTCACTGATGCACACCTTCACTCCATCCTGAGGGTTTCCACAGCACAGAACCTAAGCCCAAACATTAATGAACTGGCAGCCAAGAAAGGATGCCGAACATCTGGCTCTGGCACATGTACATAAAAGAAGAATGTATCTTACCTAAATATGTTTTCTTTTGCACTTATATCCTGTCTATCCTGTTTAACACATTTTTACCCTGTTTGGCCCTTGATGTAGTCCCAGTTTGTAATTTTGGCCCTCTCTGTGATTGAGTTTGATCCCACTGGTGTAGGTGTTCAGTTTGACAAGGCGTAGAGGTAATGATGTCTGATCTACTGATAAGGCCTCATGATTTCATAGTACTGCCATTCAAGCCAATAAGTAGCCAGTCTGATTTACCTTTATCCTCAGTTAACTCTCAGGTTTGGGTTTGAATTCGTTTGAATTCGTTTGAATTCGCACTCTACAAAGGGATTGGATCCACTAGTCCTAAAAATGAACAGTAGAAATGGAGTTAATGAAATGACCTGTGTCATTCATTTTCACCAGACTACTACAAAAGACATTTGGCACTGTCTTCCAACCAACCATTGTCATGAATATGTTGACACAGCCCATGTAGGGCTGCAACGTGAAACCAAAACTAACCAGATCAAATATCAATATCAATATGAAACTTGTCTCGGACTTCAGTCTGGACTTTCGTGTCAAAATGCCCTTGAAGTGCTGACTTCTAAAAGACTCACTGTAAAAAGACTCACTAGCATGAAGGCGACAAACAGCATATAATGTAACACTCGCTGTGAAAGAGCATATTACACTTGTACTTTTGTGAAACCATAATTAAATGTCAACAACTTGAAAATCAAAAAGCAGACAGCAGAACTACATCAAGAAAAGGTGTGTTTGTATGCGTGTGTGTGGTAACATCTTCTTCATGAGTTCCTGCTGAAATTACTGCCAGCTGTGAGACGCTGAAATTATTTTCTTGATGATGGCGGTTTGACACTGAGCGTGATGCAAGTATATATCCATAAATATAAGGCGGCTATTTATTTTCTGTCTGAGGATGGAAAAGCACAAAAACAAGAAGAAAGCACTTGTGTTATTGACATCGCTGAGAGGACATTTTCCCCTGACTTATTTCCGTCTTGATAAATCGACAGCTGCAGTACAGCTCCGGCCTGCATTTCTTGCTCGAGGAGCGTGTAACTGACACTCAAATGTAGATTAATGTGAGACTGTATCATGAGCATGTTTTCTGTTTGGGTGTATATACTGTATGGTTGCTTGTTGTTGGACTGCAAAGTATGTGGGTACGTTGACAGGGGGTGTGTTGTGTGTGTGTTTCTGTTTGTGTGTGTGTATGTAAATGCTGTCTGTGCTGTTCTAGCTGCTGCAGATGGCAGTTTAGCATGCATGGCAGAGTGGTTTGCCTGTCTCTGCATTTCTGTTTTTCATGTCATGTTGAACTGTCTCTCCACTACACTGTTATTTTGTGTGCATATTTGTGCATTCTTGGCTGTTCTGCTAGATAACCTCACTCCCAACAAGACTAGCAAGACAGTATCAAAACCACCCACGGACTCCCAGGGAATTTTAAAACGATTTTTCTTTTTAATTCACTGGTCTTGCCAGTTGAAGTCATTCATCCTTTTGTTTTTGACTCTTTTCAGATAAAGAAGTTCCCACAGCTGTCCCCTTCACTCCATCCCCGATGGTGACACCAAGGAGCACAAAGGAAAACAGCCCCAAAGCTAAAAGCTCCAGTGCCGTGGCCGGAGGTTTGCTGCATTCAGTGCTCGCTCAAAACGGACGACTTGTCTCCCAGAAAGGGGAGATCCTCCCCTCTGCCCTGCCACAGAACCTGCTCCCACTTCTGGGCAGAGGACTCAGCATCAGCTCCCTCCCTGGAAGTCACTCCCTGGAGCATCAAAGTGGGGGATTACTAAGGAGGGTAAAACCCCTGGCATCAGCTGCAGTGTCAGGCCCAGGCAGCGATCCAACCCAGCCTGCTCCTACAGACACACCCTCCCCTCTGCCTCACACACAGACACACACTACTGATGAAGAAGCTGAAATCACCACTGTGGCCACGACGGTGGACGAGGACACTGAGGATGTGGACACTGATACAGGGACACTTTCATCAGGTATGGAGTGGCAATCATCTAGTCTGAAGTCATAACCTTGTTCTTTATTTATTCAAAGCACCACACTACACAGTGCTGGAAATTAACATTTCAATTGTATTCTACTTTTCGCTTAGTCCACTATTTCTCAGGAGGAAATGACAATTTTTAGATACATTTAGATACAAGCTACAGTCTGTCCCACTGTTGGTCGGTCCACCACTTTAACCGAGATTGAGCAACTGTTTCAGAGATCGCCATTAAAAATGTAAATTAAAACAATATTCATTGTCCCCAGATGATGAATTGCACTGACTTTAATCTAGCACCATGTGGTTTCAAAACTGAGACCAAAAGAAGACAGAACCCCAACATAGTGTTTTTGCTGCAGCTGCAGCCTGTTGAGCTCTCATAACAAACTTTTCTTTTCATTTGTCATTCAATCATCAAATTATTAAGCTGCATATTTTGTAAATATAAGTTTTGATATTACACATCATGCCTTATGTCATTGTCCTCCAGCTGTATCAGTCACATGACTAGTTTCCTATGGAACATCCCCAAAAGGTTACTTAGTAGATTAAGCCTGAATACTTTTGGAGGTGTATTAATAATAACATATTAAACTCCACACAGTATTCTCCCATTCACAAACATTCACACAAGAAATCTTTAGCATGTGGAATGGGGAAGGCTGTGATCGAACCGCCCTGTTTCTGGTCAGTGGATGACCTGCTGCACCTCCTGAGCCGCAGCCGCCCCATGCCTTTGTGTTAAAGCCTCAGTGAGAATAATCCAGTATTACAATGTAATGGAAAACTACTCGTTTTCAAGAATTTGCTCATGTTATTTTTTTATGATTTCATTTGTAATTAGTTACTTTTGACAATCAAGTACAATATTTACTTCTGAGATCTACTGGAGTACATTTGGATTACAGGACATTTACTGGGATTGGATTTTTCCATTGTAGCAACCTCATAACAAACACATTTTTCGTTCAATCAGCAAATTAATAAGCTGCATATTTTGTAAATATACGTTTTAATATATCATGCCTCATGTCATTGTCCATAAGGAGATGACATAATGAGATAAGGCCTCTGTCTGAATTACTTTACTTAAAGATCTGAATACTTCCCCCATTGCTGATCTTACAAAAACAGAAAATGTAGAATGTGATTATTTATTTCATGTCACTGTTAACAGTCCTCGCTGTGCATTGTGTCTGCTGTGCAGTGGCTCTGATCCCTTTAATTTCTGTCATTAATTATACACAGCAGGGATTTCCAGTGAGTTTCAGAGCAGGCTGACATTAAAGGGATTACAAGGCAGCGTACAGTAAAAAAAAGAAAAAAAGAAAAAAGGCCAGTGCTAAATCAACTCTTCTGCTCTGTCCTCAGCTGTGCAGAGCTGCACGGTGAATTTGTCAGACCCGGAGGGGTACATAGACTCCTTGGATGACCCTCCTCTGCCTGATGGTACCTTCTTGCACTGCACCTACACAGTGACCGTGTACACCGGCTATGGAGTGGAGCTGCAGGTATGCACATCGGCAGTTACAGCAACTAGACAGCCGTCACTGTCAGCTGACTCACTGCTCATCATGCTGGACATCACTCTGTAGTCATAGTGCTGTGTTTATGTGACCATGAGGCTGCCTCTGATCTGATCCCAGGGGGAACTCTGCCTCCTAGTGACTGCTGCTGGTACTGCCCCCTCTGTCTCTATTTCTTTAGCCCCTTTTTCAACACAGATCCTGTATATTGCTGTGAAGATGACCCCCTCATTCAGCTGCCTTTGCTTGTTTCCACTGAACCAAACGAAGCAGCCACATCACCGCCACGGTTTGTGATTTTAGACTGCATGGCATTTTGGAATAGCATTAGTATCCCACTCTGCAAAAAGCTAGCTCTCCCATTCACACAGCAATCGATCAGGGTCTGTGACGGCCTCCATTGCCGGCTTACTGCTGCAACAACAATGTCCCAACACTCCCTGAGTTCCATTTTTATACCTCTTATACAGAGTGGCAGGATGGAATACAGGTGCAACATTCCTCCATTGAACTTTGAACAGGCTGTGTAAAGGGGGCTTTTCTCTGTCTGTCTGTCTGTCTCTCTCTCTCTCTCGCGCATTCTCTCTCGCTCTCTGTTTTCTTTTCATGGCTTTAATCTGACACAGCAGGGGTCAGCAGTAATATTTATCCATGGGCCATTTCTTTTCAGCAGAACTGTTCACTGTGGGTCAGCACTCTTTTAGAGTTTTGATATTTTATTTATCTTTTTATTATACATTTCTTCTTGATTTTATTTATCTAAGAGAGCAGCTTACTTTAGTAATTCTGCAAAAAAATACTATAATTGTCTCTCTAGACTTTTGAGGCCCTTCACCAACATAATGCTTACCTTAACCATTATAACTGTTTTTGTCCTCAAACATTCTGATAAGCTCATGTGTGTTTTTCACATATGGTTCTGAAATTGAAAAAGTAAATCTACACTAAAGGAGTGTATTGTGGAATGTGTAAAACTTTGGGCTCCCTACTTGGTTAGTAATTAATATTCCTCATTTTGCATCCAACTATAAATGCCTAATCCCAGCCCTAATTTAAACCTAGTTATAAACTTAACTTTACATCTTAATCTTCAAACAGTCCTTTGAAGTAATAAGAAGCAGCTGAAATGTCCCCGCAATGTGGAAATCCAGCATAAAAGCATAAACATATTAAGGTTATATTTTCACTGTGTGTTCAGGTGAAGAGTGTGAACCTGTCCGAGGGTGAGCAGCTCTCTATCAGGGGCGTAGATGAACGAGGGTCCCTGCTGGTCCTGGCCAATCAGACGCTGCTGGTCGAAGGTCAGGTGATCCGCAGTCCCACCAACACTCTGTCCGTCTACTACCGCTCTGGGCCGGAGGGAAGCATGGGCATCTTCCAGCTGCACTATCAGAGTGAGTCCATGCACTCTATGTGTACACACACACACACAGACATGAGTGTACACACTCAAGTCTGTCACATTATATACGCTATACAGATTCAATAAGTGTAAATGTGTCATTAGGAGCTAAGGCACTGTTTGTACTTTGAATACAAGCTAATGGCATGATCAACAGTCTTCTCATCGTATTACTTAGCATGGTGATTGAATCTGTCATGTGAATTAGCTGATTAGAGCTCTGATTAATTGGCTCCCATCTCATTAGGGGGGCAGAGAATGGGGGAATTTGTGTGTGTGTGTGGGTGTTTGGTCGTACATGCCCACTGAGGATATATGGAAAGGAGGAAGCATCATAGTGTTAAGAACCACCTGTGCCATTAATCACAGCCATCTAATCCTTCTACATCACGAGCAGGTAGCAGAGCAGAAGAGGGACGTGTTGACTGAGATTAAAATATGTTTACGGTGGAAAATGTGAGTGAGAGGAAAAAGCCATACAAATAGGAGCATTAAGAGAATAAACACAGACAGAAAAGCATATAATTATGATAATTTAATTAAAATATAGAAACATTGTTATTTCCTAAACCATTTAACTTCAATTGACCAAGAATAATCAACTCACACTATTCCTCTGTACCGTTTATTTATAAGCTTATTTAGCCACTTCTGTCCTAATAAACAATAATTGATATTTAGCTTTTGTGATGTAAATTGTAAAAGTCACACAAATAATGTGCATTTTATGTAATGGAAGAAGTGAATAGATTAAGTATTCATCATTAATACTAACACTGAGTTACATGCAAAGCAGCACTAAACACAAAGTTCGACTGCATGGGTCTTGTGGTAATGTTGTTATTTTGTGTATTTCCTATAGCAGCCCTGTGAGAATGACTGAGTTTCAGACTCTGCAGAGTTGACATGTGGCCTACTTTGTTTGAACAATACTGATGTCTTCATTTAGAGCGTAGCAGTGGCCGCTCACTTTAACAATGGCTCTGGTTCAGGAAGTGAATTGAGATGAATCATGACCATAAAACATTTGATTAAAAGCAAAACAAACTAAATATAGGAAAATGGGAAAAAAAAAGGAAAGCTAGAAGACTGTGTACATAATTATGAGTGAAGAAACCACGCATCAGGATCCCACAAGATGGCCCTCACTAACTCTACTCTACAGTACGTGACCTGACTTGTACTCATTGCCACCCCCTTTGACTCTTTTCCTCACCTCTTAAAAAATACAATATGTTAGGGAGGGGAATCATGTTTCCTCTGTGGTAAACTTAATGTTACCAATAAGGGCTGTGGTAAGTCTACCTTGGATGGTCACAATATTATGGCTAATAATCAAAATCTCTATCCAGAAAATAAATGGTATTTTTATTTCTGTAACCACGCTTTGGGGTTAGCTTTCTGACTGAATAATAATTGAATAAAAGAGAATAATGAATCAATTTGATCCTTTTACTCCTTCCTTTGTTTTGTGAATAAAAGTAGAAAGCACGTAGCATCTGTCAACACCTGCTCTCTGTATAAAGTCTTCAGGCTGAGCTGTTCCCTGCCAAAGAGGCCTCATTTTGGGGAGGTGTCTGTGCTGGACTTGCTCCCTGGAGGCAATGCACGTTTTCACTGCCATATGGGGTACCACCTGCAGGGGGAGGTGCAGCTCACCTGCCTCAATGCCTCCCTGCCTGTGTGGAGCGGCAAGGAGCCCAGCTGCAGGGGTGAGTAGTTGCAGAGCTGCAGAGGTTGGTTTCAAAGTGGAGCAAGATTTGAAAAGTTTCATATGCAGCAAAAAGTTGTGGCCTCCATGAGAAAGTGAAGTAAAAGTGACTCCTCCTCTGCAGCTCTTTGTGGAGGGACTGTGAAGAACGCCACAGTGGGGAGGGTATTGTCCCCTTCTCCCCACCATGGTCCAAACGCTACCCAGGACTGCTCCTGCTCCTGGTCCCTGGAAGCACCAAAGGGCCAGAGGCTGCACCTGCACCTCGAGAGACTGGCCTTGGGATCCACTGACAGGTCAGGGCATCTATGAACGTGTTTTATGGGACAATGTCTCCTCTGAATCCGCAGTGACCTACCTGGTCCACAAATCTGAAGGTTTTGATTCTCCTTACTTTAATTGGTATACATTTTTGTTGTGTTTTCAGATTCAGACAACGTGACAATAGAACAAATAATACGAAACATGTTGCTGGAGGGTTTTCAATCATATAGCCTTGTTTGTTTTGATTTGGCACTATAAAGCTTAAAATTGCTTTGAAAGTTATTTCATCAGTTTCAGCAATTTTGGTCTGAATTTGATTCCTATAGTTTTATATGAACAAATGATTTACACATATGTCTGATGACACTGTGTTTCTGTGTGTCGGCGTGTGTCTGCATGTCAGAGAGAGAGGAAGAGCGAGTGGGTCGGGCTGATGAATGCATGCTGCTCTGAAGAAATGTGTAACTAATTTAAGAAAAGTATAGATCATTATGTGCTGTGTGGGTGGGTGTGCAGTTCAAGCGGTCTTCAAATGCCGCACATGTTGATATCACAATGCTGGAATCTGTAGATATATTGTGCAGCCCTTCTTTGTAGTAAAACATGAGGAGCTACACTGATGATCATTCTTACTACTTTATCTGTATATCAGTTATATCTTAGATCTTTCACTGGTTGCCTACATCTCCAGAGGATTTTTGTTTGCCTACCATTGAAAGGATTGACTAAATATGTCTTTCAGATACATAGTTGCCAAAAATATGAAAACAAGAGTTCAACTCAAGATGTCCTCATACTGAAAAGAAAAAGCAAAAGCAAAGCAACAGTGGTTGGTTATATCAACAGGCTGACTTGGAGGCCATGGAATGTCTGCCTCTTTTTCTTCTACTGTGTTTATTATGCTGAACAGCAGCTGCTTTCAGAGAGAAAGACCATTACCTGCTCAGCAGCAGGTTTAGGCTTTTCAAGGTTTTCCCTTTCACATACACTCATGCGCACCTCTTTCCATCCCTGCAGGCTGGTGTTGTGGAGCGGGCTGGACGCCGGCTCTGTGGTGCTGTTCGACTCAGGTCGCGGTGGACAGATACCCTTTGAAGGAGTGATCAGTGAGGGCCCAGCTGTGAGGATCCAGTTCATCACTGATCAGCCTAACCACAACACAGGATTTAACATACGCTATGAAGGTATGCTAATGTAGGCACAACAATAATCAGTGTATTTCTGCAGCACAGTTTATACATGAACTGATAGATTTCTAAAATTACCGGATGATAAGTTAAATGAAAATATTTCCGAGATGGCTGCAAGGCTGCTTATATTGTTGTTGACAGTGTTAGATTGTGGACACTTCTATCCTCACCAATAAAGAGAAAAATAAAAGCCAAGGAATCGTCTTTGAAATTGGAAATACAGATGACATCTATTGATTTGACTTCAGTTTGTTGACGTATCACAAAGGAAGGTCTTTTTTTCCTCCTCATTTTCTCCTGCAGCTTTTGAGCGTGGCCACTGCTATGAGCCGTACCTCCAGAATGGAAACTTCACCACTTCTGACCCTTTGTATGGGGTTGGAGCTGTGGTTCAGTTTACTTGTGACCCAGGCCACTCACTGGAGCAAGGGCCCCCTGTTATTGAGTGCATCAGTGCGAGGGATCCCTACTGGAATGACACAGAGCCGCTATGCAAAGGTAACTGATAGTGATTCGTGTTCATATACACTAAGTTTCCATTTTTTCTGACAGTTGGCTCAACTTTTAAACATGTGTATTTGACTTGGAAGTGTTAGTGCTATATTCATTAACAGCAGTGAAGTCGTAAGGAAGTGGATGGGGTGGATGACAGATGTACAAAGGAACGAACAACGGTGAGAGTCTGGGTTTGAATCCAGACTCCAAATTGTATTTAGGCGACAAAAACACTTTGGTTAAAGTTCAGAAAAAATTATGTTCCTGGTTTAAATGTGTTAGTTGGGTCACTGCAAACTTTCTCTGTATTAAACCAGACCAGGATTTGCCCTGTGCTGTAGGTACCTTAATCATAAACCATAGTAAGGTCACATTTTGGTGTAATATGTGCACGTTTATAGTTTAATTCTTGTCCATGAACACAAAATCCATTGATTACATTTGACAAACTGCTGCAAGACTGAGCTGAATGTTCTCAAAGAACAATAACCTTTTTCATGGGTGGAACATATTGACATGAAAGAACTGGGGAATATGACAAGTTAATTCATGTGTAGGTGCCTCTCAATAAGTAATAAGGATTTGTTTCCATAGTGTGTTTGAATAGGAATAGTTCAACACGTTCAACCCACTCTTATTTGCTTTTCTCAGAGACAGTTAGTTTAGTTTATCTCATCTTGGCTTATCTTAGCTTAGTTTTTGATTATCTTAAGCAGCTAGCCTGACTCTGACCAAAGGAAACAACATCTGTCAACGCACACCACTAAGTTCCTTTAAGTTAAATTATATACAGTAATTGAGTTGTCTGTCCTCCTCCTGTCTCTCTGCAGCACAGTGTGGAGGAGACCTGACTGGTCCAGGAGGCGTGATTCTGTCTCCAAACTGGCCAGAGTGGTACGGAGAGGGGGAGGACTGCAGCTGGAGGATACATGTCGGGGAGGACAAACGAGTGCTGCTTGATGTGCAACTGTGAGTTAACGTCTACACACAGACTCATATCCAAACGTCAGCTCTGAGTCAGAGTTTGTCCTGACCAAGAGCTCAGTGGAGGGTCCAGCACTCTGTCCAGATGTTGTGCATATTGATATTTCTGTGTTACTGCACTGAACCAATAAAGCCAAACCCAGGTAGGTCCAGTGTAATTCTATTGCCACTGTGTTCAGAAGTTCCATTTTAATTTGGTAACTTACTCTGAGAAGATCTGGTTTAAGATCCCTGCACTGCTAAATGTCTCATTAGTATTTTTGAGACTGAAAGCACATAACCAAAACAGAATTGAGGGATCAAAGTCGAAATCTGTTCTGTGTTCACCCAGCCAGTAAAAGCAGGAGAGACCAGAGCACAGGATAAAATCGGAAAATGTCTGCTGAGCTGCCTCCTGATAATTCACAGTGAATTTAATCCAAAGTAGATGAGCTCAGTGAGTCAAAAATATTTATGTTAAAGCAGTTGAATAACCAGCTTCAAGGCAGCATGAAGGACATGGTGGGGAGTATTAAGACTTTAGATGTAGGAAGGAGCCTATCAGTTTAAAGGCTTGCAAGGCAGAAAGAGGATTTTAAAATCAGCTCTGGCTTGCATCAGGGGCCAATGAAAAGACAGATCAGGGCGAAGTCTATGATCAAGACTGTGATCAAAATGCACTGAGACCTCTTGATGCTGTATTGGTCGGAGAAAAGTGGATAGCAGTTCTGAAAGCTTGCATAAGATTTGTGTTATCTGAATTGAATAAGTTACATAACTGAAAAAAGCAGATCTTTTGACATTCACTACATTTCTGTGTTTATATGAGTTGCTAATAGAATATTCCCTTCATATCTAACATGACTTACATCATTAAGTCACTACGCCATTATGTCCGAAGTTTTTCCAGCAGTTTTAAAACCCCAACCTAAAATAATAACACAACCATAGAGTATTGTCTGTGTAATCTTTCTCATTTTGCAAAAGCTACAACTCCTAATTATTTTTCCATCTCTTTTACACCCGGGGCATCCATCGTCATGTTGATTTCACAAAATGCATTGTTGATTCAGATAGATCATTCTTATGTGATTAAGATCTATATATGTCTAGATAATGCCCCACAACTCTTCATTCAATTATTTTTGATTCTGAGTACGACCTCATTCGGGTTAAGATAAAATCCGTCTGTCGGAGAAGATTATTAATTATTCAGACTATTGGCTTGATTAGGTTCAGATCAGAACACTGGTGCTCCTGCAAACAGAGTCACTGTTGTGTTGTTCAGAAAAGGGATTAAGAACTATTCCAGAATACTTGACGGAATGGCGGACGTTGTGCAAGAATCCAGATGAATGAAAACATCAGATTCATGTTTTGAGTGAGGTGTAAAGGGTGCAGGTGTGAGGACTTTCTACCTTATTCAGATCACTGGGTGCGTTCCCCCCCTGCTCTGTTTCTACTTCACACAGTTTTATCAAGTTTCATGCTTCTCATCATGTGAATGACTTATTTTCCCAAATTTTTAAAAATATATATGTTCTACTGTTCACATGCACTTTAATACTGACAGTGTTGAATGTAATGATGAAACAGCCCCAAAATAACAGAGTTGATTATGCTATAAGTTGCTAATTTAACACAGTGTATTGTACAGCTTTGTCTCACAACAGAATAAGTAAGGTATATGTAACAAATCACAGTGAATCTGTAACTAATTAATAAAACAACCATCACAACACTTCAATTCTACTCTCCTTTAAAAATGAATGCATTTATTTAACTCATTTTATCTGAAGTATGTAATGGGTCGGACAAGTGTAACGACGACTCCCTGCGAGCCCCCAATCTAATTACATACTTCAGTTCTTCGGTAGAAATATGTCACCTCACATTTACAGATATTTAAGTTTTCCAAACCGTGCCTCTTTAAGAGCCTGGAACACGTCTCAGTGCCAATGAAAACGTGCCTGTTTTTACAGACTGTTTAACATTTTGCCTGTGGATCAATGCAGCATTTAGCCTTTGAGGTCATTTTGTCTTCCACATAGTCGGCTGTCAACATGATTACCCTCGGAGTCATCAGAAACCGATACCACTGTCTCTCTCTCTCTCTCTCTCTCTCTCCCTCTCTCTCCCTCTCTTCCTGTCCTCAGACTGAACATCAGCGACAGTGACATGTTGACAATCACTGACGGCGATGAAGTAACAACGCGTATCCTGGGGCGGTACGTGGGAGGAAGCAGCCCCTTCAAGCTCTCCTCCACCACCCCTGACCTGACTGTCACCTTCCACTCCGACCCGGCAGGGCTCGTCTTCGGCAAGGGCGAGGGCTTCATCATCAACTACATGGGTGAGAGTCTGGTGATAGTTACATTTTTCTTATGTCAGCAAATCCTACAACAAGATAAAACCACAACTGATCCTATGAACAGGGGCTCTCTGTGCATTCTACACTATGTTGGTTAGTATAAAGATGCCAAGACTCTGATCTCTATGGAGTTGAGCTGCATTTATTCAGAGAATGACAGAAATCATTTTGCTTTACAGTAAAACCTGACAATGAATATATCGACAATACAGGAGATTTTCAACTTTAAAGATTACACTTGATGTAGGACTCCTGACATTGTCCCACAATTCAATTCAACCACAGTTTTTACGTGCTTGTAATGGCTAACCCTGTACATTGATATTTTTATGAGATTTGTTGACACAGTCACAAGACAGATCTGAAAACTTGTACTTTCATTCAGTCCCCCCCCCCCCCATTCATTTTCATTTTGCCTCTTTCCTCACATGCTGCCAACTTCATTTTTCATCTTCCCCTTTCTTCCCCTCTCATCTTTATTTGTCTTTTCTTTCATTTCCCTCTGCCCTTATTCAATCACATCCCATTTGTTTCTCCATCTCGCAACGGTGCCTCACTCACACACGAGCCCCAGAGTTTCACAAGCAGCCAAATAAGCTCAGTCGCTCCTTCTACACACAGTAATCTGCTGTGCTCCCTATATCCTACACCTGACACCAATTTAGAATTGCACACAGACACACACTGTCCAATTTACTTGTCATCCTCCCGACACCACAAGCTCTAACAGGTTTCCCAGAGGAGTAAATCAAGTAGACACAGCATGAATATGCAGGCTACTCGCTTTGATTATATATACCTGTGTGTGTGTGTGTGTGTGTGTGTGTGTGTGTACTGAGAATAAATTACCCACCACACACATTCAGGCTGCAGGGAGGAGGAGGACCAAGTCAATAGAGAATGAATAATTGATCCAGGAAATTCAACTTACAAGTCCCTGCGGGCTTATTATACTGTACAGTGTAATGCAATACTGTAGGCTGTCTGATCAATCATCACATATACATATGCAGACACATACACACTAGTCCCAACAGGAGGATCCTTATTTCCATGTTTCTCTAGGCTGTAATGACTTTTTTCGGTCTTTGAACAGTGTGTATTAAAGTTTTGCATTTTCTTCTTGGGATGGTTTGCTACCAGAGATGGTTTTGTTTTATTCTTCTCTTTTTCAAGAAATTAGCACTTGAAAAAGCTAAGTGAGAAAAAAAAAGAGAATAAATCATGATAAAGCCTATTATTGTTCTTACATAATTATTTTTAATATGACAATAAAGTGAAATAAACAACTGAAACCTAATCTTATGCTCAAAGTACTTTTAGTTCCACAGCAGTGTAAGATTGGTGTGAGACAGAGACAGTGCCGTCCAGAAGAAACATGAGGCTGGAATCTACAGGGATCTCTTTTAACATGGAAGGAACATAATAAAGTATTAAAACCAAAAGTCAGGCACTATCTTTAGCTTTGCCTCAAAATGGGACAGCTCATTGTAGAGGAACCCATGGTGAACTGTGTGAATCAATCCAGCATTTCAAAGAGCAGTGCACCCAGCTGCCAGACTGTTGTGGGGCCGGCCTTGTATTTCCCATTTGAAACTCTGGAGGCGTGTACACAAGAGTTCCTACAATGAACAAAGGAGGAGGCACTGAAAAGATAAATGTATCTTTCTCAGCTTAAAAGATAAATGAAACGCTGGATTGCAAGCCAGGTTGGGCCGCACCAGAGGGGAAGCTGTAAGGTCTGCTCTTCAAAATGCAGCCACATCCAAAGTCAATAACCCGCACTCGAGGGCCGTCTGGGCCACATTCAATGAAGATGTTCTCTGATTTTGTATCACGATGGAAGACTCCCTTAGAGTACAAATCGATGGCTGCCTCCACCAGCTGCTTCATGATGATCAGAGACAGAGATAAAGGGACACACAGGAGTTAAGTGGGGAAGAAGGGAGTCTGAGGTGACACTGACAAACAAGCTGGATGTAGTAGCTGCCTTGGATCTTTCGACCACAGCCCGAAGTGTCATGAAATTAAATTTTATCCTGAACACTTTGAGGATTAAGATGAGGTCCAAAGGCCTTTCTTAATTCTGTGAACAGCAATTTAAATAAAAGACCTGAGCCCAAGGTTTATTTAGTGACTGGAGCTCTTGATCATATCATGCGATCTCCAGAACAATTACTTAAAGGAATTTAGGAATTTAAGGAATTTTCAGACAAAGACAAATGTTAAAGGAATTCAGGGGTAGACAGTCTGTAGGCCTTCACTCTGAGACATTGAGCTAAGAGATGCTATAATGTTTGGGTTTGTCACGATGAGCAGTATCTGTCAATGAAACAGTGTTGTTAAAATCTGCCTTCATTTCTATATACAGTATAATCATTAATGACAACAGTGTTAGAGCATCATTCAGTTTAGGAAAGATGGCTTCAATGCAATTCCCTCATACTGTGACTGACATCCTCAGAAAATGATGTCTCTGAAGATTTGTAATAAATTCCACTCCTCAAAACAGCATAAATGTTAATTCTAAATTCTTAAAAGTTTTCTTTAAATCACTCTGTCTGTTAAATCATCTTCTATGTCAAACAGTAGCAATACATTTTCTGAGACACTGAATGTGTGTCATGTTCATCCCCAAATAAAAACCCCAAGTGATCTAAAACTAAAACTGATGATCGCTGCCTTTACATACATAAAGGCATAAAGGCATTCAGATATTTAGATATACATATATAAAGATTCCGATATTTACATATAAATGAATAGACAAAACAATAAAGAAGTGTTCTTCTATTCCTGGACTTATTGGATATTACAAAAACATTTCATGAGCACATAACAACAAATCTTTTTCCCGTGGCAGATGTGATAGACAACTGATAGCTTGTGATCATTTTCTTGAGGACTGGTCCACTGGATGCTTGAATTAAACTGGATAAACTTTTCAGAAAGCAGCTTCAGTAGACCACCCTGGAAAGATGAAATCCATCATTCTGCCACACGGCACAATAAGTCCATCAATCTTCCACACTGAGACGGACTCCTCCTCACAGAGAGCATGTGCCGGTATTCATGTCCAGATCAGAAGTGGTGCTGTTCATCTTGTTGCTTCTTTACCCTTCACTGTACCCGAACCTGGACCACAAGCAATAACACGTCATAATGGAGCCATTAATCAATGTTTGTTTTTTTTATTTTTTCAGAGGTGTCCCGAAACGACTCCTGTCCAGACCTGCCTGAGATCCAGAACGGCTGGAAGACGACATCCCATGTTGCACTGGTGCGAGGGGCTCACATCACCTACCAGTGTGACCCTGGTTATGACCTGGTGGGACGGGAGACCCTCAACTGTCAGTTAGACCTCTCCTGGAGCTCACAGCCCCCGTTCTGTGAGAAGAGTCAGTTCCACTCTTATTTAAACTCTATCTACTGCCCAGTTGTTTGTGTTTGAGACCATGTGTAGCCGTATCGTTAACTCATTACAAGTTACAACTACATTTAATGGCTCCCTCTGGATAGTTTTTTCTAATTTCAGTTACCTCATTAAAGTTTGTGTACTGCTGCAGCCAAATCCAGATTTCTGCATGTCCAAGCTGAGCTAAGGTTGATTTCTATTCCATGTTAGTCCATTTTCTTCCCTTCATTTAGATAAATTCTTTTCTTAAGCACAACATTGAATTTAATTATTGTATTATTGTTACATGTTATTAAATTAGGGCAGCATGGTGGTGCACTGTCGCCTCACAGCAAGCAGGTTCTTGTTTTGAATCCTAGTTCAGCTGGGGCTTTCTGTGTCTGCTAGCATTTTCTCCTCCCACAGTCCAAAAGCAAAAAGCAAAATCTGTGTAACAAATCAGTTTCTATCACAATAAGATAAATATTTTGGAGTAAAAAGTTCTTACATCCCTCTCTGTGTATAAAATGAAAAATACTTTCAAGTACAAGAACCTCAGAAATTGTACAAGTAAAGTCAAAGTGGCAGCCATTTGTTTACAGGACATCTCTCTAAAGAGACTTTGAATAGATTGAAGCATGGTGCAACTTAGACACTTGCTGCTGACTAACAAGCAATCATTATGTTATCAATAATAATTAAGTGTAATAGTCTTTACACTGTTATTGTTTACATTTTAACGAGTCAGATCTGATACCTGATGGTGCTCAAGCGATCCCGGTCTCTCTCGCCTCTCTCTCTCTCCCCCTCTCCACTATCTCTCTCTCTTCTCTCCCCTCTTTTCCACCCATCTCTCCTCTCCTCCCTTTTTTCTTTGCTCACCCCAACCAGTCGAGGCAGATGACCGCCCACGTTGAGTCTGGTTTTCTCTGTTAATGAGGGAGTTTTTCCTCCACAGTCTCCAAAGTGCTGCTCATTGTGGGAACTGTTGAGTTTCTCTATAATAATAAGATTTTAAGGTCCTGACCTTCTATGTAAAGTGCCTTGAGATAATGTTTATTATGATTTGGCACTATACAAATAAAATCGAATTAAAATTGAACATTACGTTATAGGTTGCTCCTATCAGGATGTATCTTAAATTAGAAGAAATTGTGAACAATATGACATGTATAATACAAAAATGTTGAAGCATATTTTTCTCCTGAACTCATTTTGGTAATCCATGTTTTTGCTCAACACCGGAGAAGAAATGTATATATTCAGTACCAGGAAAATGAGCCCATCTACAGCTTCCTGAGCTGTGGTTTCTGTGGTTTCCACGGTCACATGGCAAATTAAACCTAAATCAACTCAGGTGGCTGTGAAAAGCAGCTGAGCATGGCTACCGTGAATCAGGCTGCTGTTGGAGGCAGAAGCAGCAGAAAGTGTTCACTTCCTGAAAGGACTTTTAATGAGATTTCATGAAACACATTCATGCTCATAATCTTCAGTGAATAAAGCTGTGTCTGAGTTTTTTTTTCCTTTATCACAATGCAGAGGATAAATAATTGAATTTCCCATCAGCTTCAGAGGAAAGATTTTAAGTAAATAATGGGCACTTAATATTTTAGAATGATTTTAACATTTGAGTAGTAAGTTAAGGAGTAAGTTAGGCTTAATTCTTAAAAATGTATTGATGCCTGATGTATATGAAAAACAATATTTCACTCTTCTTTCCTCTGTTGTCTTTTCCTCAGTCATGTACTGCTCAGACCCTGGCCACGTGGAGCACTCCACCAGGTCTCTGTCAGACCCTAAACTCCTGGTGGGAACAACCATTCAGTACAGCTGCAATCCTGGCTTCATCCTACAGGGCGGCGCCACCATCACTTGCTATGGCCGTGAGCCAGGGACGCCTGTGTGGACGTCTCGACTCCCTCACTGTGTCAGTGAGTATCATTAAAAGCAGATTACATATTAATATCAGTAACGCAGTCCAATGGATTACAAAAAGTGTAAAACAATCAGAATACGTTTGCACCTGTATTCCAAAAAATGGATGCAGTCATATAAATGAAACATCAAAACCTTGTCAATACAAATGAAATGAATTATGCATATTCAGTATTTGTATATTAGCTAATAAACTAAACCATTGATCCTGATGTGCACTGCAGTGGACACAGTTTAAAGAAAATCCATGTAAGAGAAAACAGAAAAGTGAAACGCAAATGAAACCAGTCCCACGTTGTTTCTGCAGCATTAGTTTGCTCACTGAGAGGGAAACGTTCCTCTGAGTGCTCCCTCACATAAGGTCTTTGCACAGCCGCCCCCTCTCTCCCCTCCATGTTTCATTTATGCCTCAATTAATAACTGCCCAACGAAGGAAAAAATGCCAAAAAGATAAATAAATAGAAAAAAGATTGTGAGCTGAAGCGATCGTTTGGTTTAATTTGCCAGTCCTGTGACTACAGAGAGCTGTCACCAGGGTACATGGCAGTTAACTGAAGATGAGAGGCTCTTTCCCTGCTGCTGTGGATCTAACATGAGTGGGTTTGTGTGACTTCTTGCAAAATGGAAAAAGGACTGGCTCTCTCCTTCCCGTGCTGACACAGATCACAGCGTCTCTACTCGCCAGAATGCCAGGACTGATGATGAACGTGTGTGTGTGTGCTTCATTATTAATGTTTGTGTGCAGTGTTTGATATGTAAATGTAATGCTAATGCACCATACCAATCAGCCCTCAGCCACCTGGAGGAGGGGGTGGAGATTATCCCTGAGTCATGTCACCTCAGCGGGAGCCTGTCATGTCAGTCGGGCTCTGACGCAAAACCTCAGATTCATGTTGAGGAACTTGACGGCATTCATCCAGCTTTCTTCTTCTCTTTTTTTTTCCACAGCTGAGGATTCTGTTTCCTGCGAAAACCCTGGTCTCCCTGACAACGGCTACCAGATCCTGTCCAAGAGGCTCTACCTGCCCAGCGAGTCGCTCACCTTTGTCTGTTACGAAGGTTACGAGCTCATTGGAGAGGTTGCAATTAAATGCATCCTGGGAAACCCGTCATTCTGGAGCGGCCCACTTCCACTCTGCAGGGGTGAGGCTTCTGCAGAATTTGGTGGATTTTTTTTAACTGTTTGTGGCATGAACAGCTCCCTTGTCCACAGATATATGCACGTACCTCAGGGGGTTTGGTGCCCTTTGTTTGTTGATACAGATTGATCATGCTTCTGTTCATGCAACTGACAATTCGCTAAACTCCTTTCCAAAACAACGACTATAAAATCTTAGATCAGCGTCCCCATGCTGAGTCACAGCATAGGTCGTCAAAGACTTCGTAGGGTGGTGTCCCTTTCCTTTCGAAGACCAAAGACACAAGAGCAGATGACATAGAAGAACTGAATCAAACAGTAGTAGAAGAAGCATATGGAGCATTTATTTAAGTGACATACAGGCTTTGAAAGTAATGTTATTAAGTAACAGTACAAGTATTACTAAAATTTACATTTATAAAACACATGATGGGCAACAATCTAAATTATAAAGTCTCATTAATTGACGTGCTAATTATTTCCTTTATTTATATTTTAAGCTGTTTACCCAAGTACTGCACATAAGCACCATTACAAGGTAATCTAAAGGTACTCTATTTGACTGTTCTTCTAAATATTGTGAAATATTTTAATTTTATGCCACAACAATTATATTCAAATTAAAATATTTACAAACTAAATATATAAAGAGTTTATACATATATTAACTACAATGTTAAACTAACCAACAGTTTATGTAGGTAGAGCTGATATAATAAGCATGATAATAAGAAAATCAATTGGCAACTAATTTGGCAATTGCAAATGAGAGCATATGCAGCCCCTATTTTTTAAGTTACTTTAATTATTTTGGTGTGTTTTTAATCATTTTGAGGTTTGGATAATAGGTTGGAAAAAAACAAGCATTGTGGGACTCTGGGTAATTCTGTTTTCTGGAACAATCAAATAATTGAGAATTTTATAATTACATAATTTGAAACAGATCCTGGATCCCTCAAAGGATAAACAGATTTTGTTAGCTCCTCATGGAGGTCATGATAACATCTGAGAACAACTGATCTCAGGGATTAAAATACATTTACTACAGCATTTATGCTTAAAGTACTTTTTCAAGAAGTACGTTTTTCAATGCAGGACTTTGACTTGTCGTTAAGTAGTTTACAATGTAGTAGCAATACTTTTAGTAAATAAGATGATGACAATATGTGCCAAGTGAGATACAGTATGTGTGAGAGCAGAAAGCCAGGGAGGCGGAACAGTGTGATCGTGAGGATTTTAGCGAACAGTGAATTCAAAGCAGCCTTGTTACAAAACTGCAAACTGCACAAGGAAGTATGATGTCAATTTTCATTTGCACTGACTGACAGAATGATGTCTTGCAGCCAACCATGACTGCTTTGGCAACCATGCTTTGGAAGGTGAGTCTGTGTGTGTTTGTGTGTGTTGGTGTGATCTGATACTGTGGGGCTGTAAAGGCCACACAGTTTGTTGTGTAGACTAACAAGAAACCCCCAACAACTGCCTGCATCAGCAAGCCTGCAAGTTCATTCCCAATGTCCGTGTTTGTGTGTGTTTGTCCAACCACCTGTAGAATCGACAGGTCTACGTTTGCTAAGCCATCCCCGACCAGACTCGCATTTGTTCTCCTACCTTTGATTAAACTGGCTTTCTTTGTGTTGTGTCTCAGTTGCAGAGGCGACTGCGGGCTCCACTCTGGATGGAGGGAACATTGCACTGGCTGTCTTCATCCTGGTCCTTCTGTTGTCTGTGCTGCTGGGAGGCGCCTACATCTATGTCACACGGTATAAACTCTGAGCACTTAACTTTGGGAAGTTGTTTCGCATTTTGGGAAATAACACAACTTTCTGGCTTATTCATTGAAGACCGATACAGCTTTCATATTAGCAGGTTAGCTCAATTTACAGCAGAGACATGTAGGGCTGAAATTAGTAGTTAGTTGATTGATGTGGCTAAATCATCAGCTATGTTATAATTGATTTGTTGATAATCGGTAATAATAATAGTTTTATTTTATCTTTTTAATAAACTGCATATTTCCCAAAAAGCCAAATAATTTTGTTTCTAAGTATATTTTGTCATTCTGGGGGACAGGGAGCATTATATTTGCAATATTTATTGTATTCAAAATGCATTACCTGCGATTTAAAAACCTTTGGTGAGAGGAAATAAAATGTCCACACTGTGGAAATTCTGATTTCAAGATACAACTAATTGTTGGCTTGGTCTATTAGCTTGTCTTTCAAACTTTCCACCACACTGCTCATACACTGCCCCCTACTGTTCATTTGCATACAAGGAATTCACTTGTTTGGACATGCACCGACAACGCACCAGACAGACACAGGATGCGTTAGGCAGCTATCGTTTGTACGTGAATGAGTAAGCAAAGCACTTTGGATTGCCTTGTTGCTGAAATGTTCTATACAAATAAACCTGCCTTGCCTAAAACTCGCCGGAACATCGTCTCCCTAAACTAACATTCGCTGACTACCACTAGGAACAAAATACAGCTGAGTTGTTATTGTTTTGCGGGTAAGAGGTAATAAAGCCAAAACCGTATTGTCGCTATGATTTTTATTTTATTTTATACTCTCTCCTCATTCTGTCCATCAGGTGCAGGTATCACTCCAACCTGAGGCTGCCTCTTATCTACCCCCACCCTTACCGACAGATCACTGTGGAGACAGAGTTTGACAACCCGCTCTACGAGACAGGAGGGGTGAGTGTCCTTACATTAAAGAACTTATTGTCTGTATACTCCAGGTACTCACACTGTCAATTCTGCCTCTGTCTTGTCCATCTTCTCTTTCATTCTTAGCAGGACACTCGTGAATATGAAGTATCGATATGAGAAGCCTCACAAAAGACATTTCTGACCCAAGACCGACCGCCTCGTCCTAACTCCTCATCCTCTCCCCCTCCTTCCCCGCCCAGGAGGAGGCGATGTAAATACAAATAGATGATGTCCAGCCCCTTCTGCGATGAGATGCAGTGATCGATCCTGCTCTCTCCTCCTTTGCGGAATGGTTTCTGACGACATGGTGGGATATAGGAGGGGAAATGAGGAGCAGGAGAGGAGACAGACGGGTTATTGACAAACCCGTGTGCATCAGTGTTTCTGGGAGATGATGGGAGATGTAGATAGAGAGAAAAGACCTAAATCAAAGAACAACGAGCATGGTGAGGAAAAATGAGGTGATGTTTGTGAGATGGGACAGAAAAGGACTTTAGGAGGGGAGAAGGCGAAGGATTCGGGGACAGGAAACAGTGTGAGGAATCTGGACTGAAGGGGTTTAAGCACTTTTAAGTATTTTTGTCAAACATTTCTCACTTTTCTCAATTTAGAGAAATAATCCTAGAATATGTGTCAGACAGGGAGAGTTCAAGTTTATAATCCTTAAGATTTTCATGAAATCAGACCCCATTAAGGTTTATATTCAAAAGGTAGTGAAAGTTTTAGCTACATTCCCAGAATATCGACACAAAAGGATGTTAATGTGTGATTCACTAGTTAGCTAAAATTAAATGTATGAATTAAAACAGGTGGATGGAAACACTTAAGTCAACATCAATTTTTTCTCCTACAGCTGAGCTCGGTTCATTTACTGCTAATGTAGGGAACATTTCCTACTGCTTCACATTAAAAACAGTCAACAGGCCAAACACAGTGTGACTTTTACTGTGAAGCAGTCACAGGAAATGCATGGTGTGACCGTGATCGTTCAACCAATTGTCAATATTTGCTGGATTGCTACAGCGAGGGTCAATGTCTCTGACTGTCTGGTCTGCAGGTCAATCTTAGGGATTGTCAACTTTAAGTGTGTTGGGGATAAATTGACGGGAAGAATGATGGGCTTTATTTTTTTTAGTTTTTACCACACAAGTCACTTTTTCTTACCACAAAATGACAATAACAAGGAGGAAATAATGCTGAGTGGCTGCCTTTGTGTCCCTCCTAATCAGTCCAACACAGGATGTCTGTCTCCTGTCCCAGAAATCCCTCCTGCCTGCAGTCACCGTAAAGGCTTTTTACTCCAGCCGCTTCACTTCTGACTTTAGCTGTAGTGAATTGGTATTTAAATCTATGACTTCAGGGGCCAGTGCAGTACTGTTGTCTTATTTCTCTCACATGTAGTTAGATTGATGACCTCAGGTCTGAACCGGCTGATGACTAAAAAGGAAAATGAAGAAAAAAAAAACGAAAAAAAACATGTGAATAGCATAGCTGTAGTCAACTGACCGACCTTTGAGTGCAAGCTCAATCAACCCACCAGATGATGTATTTATTTTGATGTACTGTATATGTGATGTTTTATGCAGATTGATAAATGTACATTTTCATTATGAGAAGACAAATGTCAACATTTTCCCTAAATAAATGGTAAAACTTGAATAAAAAGTACAAAACATTCTTTGTAAATATTGAGGCCTTCAGATGAATTCTTTTGCATCTTGTTTTTATTTCAGGGAACAAATGTGAAACCAAAATGTGACTGACAAACTCCTTTCTTTAGAATCTGTGGTCTTTTCAAAGCTCTTTGCTCAGTCTATGCAGAACGTGTCTTTCGTCTTTACGCATCCTTCTGTCTGTCTGTGTGTCTGTCTGTTTGTCTGTGGAACATATATCTTGCAAGCTGTTCAACATTTGGGCTTCACTCTTGGCAAGTGTGTTGTAAATTGCCAGAGAAAGTGCAGTCCTGATTTTGGTGTGATTTTGACACGCAATATGTTCATATTAATAAAACTTGAATAAACAGGCGAGCAGCGCTCTGTAGCAGTCAGTGGGTGTGGGGCAGTGGGCCTCAGTCTGGGTCTTCTTGTATGTCCTAAACTACAGCACTGGTTGACGATTGGGTCAAACCTCAGAGGAAGTCGCTGCCAGATCATTTTGATAATTTGATTATTTTTATTACCCAACATCAGATTGAGACACAGACACACAGCAAAGTTGATTAGCAATTGGTCTTCAAAGTAAAAACACAACGTTTGTTTTATTGCTGAAATGCTTTTATTTTGAAAAGTTAATTCTGAGGATTATGTTGATTGCTGACCTCTGAAATAGTCGACATGCAGTGTATGAAAAAAACATTAGTTAAGGCAATCATTCAAACCTGTATATAAGCGAAGAGGACTCACTTATGACAGGAAACAATTCTGAAGTAGCTCCAGAGCATTAAGACAGGCCAAGCTACTTCACCCCAGCCATTCCAAACAGAGAGGTTCAGAACAGACACTGCAGTAGTCATTCAAATTAATGTTAATCATTTTGGTTCCAGATCCTCAAATGTGAATGTACAGTCTTGCCGATTATATTTAAATTGTCTTTATTTAAAAGTTAAAATGGATTATACACTGTAAATTTTGTATTTGAGTGTGAAAATGTATATTCAAAACCAGCCAACCCTAATCCTACAACATGTGAGGTTCTGGTTGGTTAGACAACCTGTCAAAGTCTGTTCACTAAGCCATGTAGTCCAGAGCCTGCTTTAAAATCAGGTGAGGTCCAGGTAGTGGGAAGATGATTAAAGTATGATATTTTAAATTCTATGTCAATTTAATGGAGTTTCTTAACCAGAATAATACTCTGGACATGCATAAACTGTAAAGTAATAACATGTTGTATAAAAATACAATTTTTTAAATTTGGCATAGAAAGAACACGAGTGGCATATGAAACTTGGCTGTCAAATGTGTTGTATCAATGACCATGAAATGTTTTTACTATGATCCACTTTAAGATATCATACCCTTTATTTTATTTTATCATTTTCTGACCTAAATTAAAAACTTGCTTCATCCATCACAGTTAGAATCAAGTTTGTTTTTGCACATATCCACAGCAGTCTGTTGACAAACATACTTTTCTACTTAATCTGCACATAAACTAAAAAAAAAATGCTGACATATCTAACCAACCTAATTTGAACAGATGAGTCAATTTAGAGAAAAGCTCAACAGTCCTCAAGACTCAAGGGAACAACCAGACGCTATAGGCTACAGACAGCTGCCAGCTCATGAAGTAGATCATTGATCTTCTCAGTGGCCTGTTTGTGTAAAGTCAGCCTTTAGAATTTTAACATACAGGTGAAAACAAACAGGAAGCCAGTGCAGGGAGAGCAGAGGTGGATTTACACGATCTCAGTGATAATCTTTGCAGCAGAGTTTGAACCAGTTGAGCAGTGGTGGACAAAATATGCAATTTCATTACTTGAGTCAAAGTATAGATACTCCTGGTGAAATATGACTCCAGTACAAGTGAAGGTTGCTCAGTCAAGTTATAACTTGAGTTCAAATATACTGGAGCACTTTCTTTTGAAAAGAGGTTAAATAAAAACCTCAAATGTCTAATTTCCATTGTAGTCAAGAATACATTTGTGTACATTATGCCACGTTATGTTTATTTGGAAAACCTTATTTACATTTTTAAACTCACATGCACCAACATAATAGGAACAGTAAGAAGAACAACCAAAAGCCAGGCTTCAGGGTGAGAATACAGAAAGTTTACTCAATCACTCTTACCATAAGTAATTTGACACGGTAGAGTACATTTACTTTGTTACTGTCCACCTCTGCAGTTGAATGTGATGGAGGGAAGCCTCGGTGATACCTGTGGAGAGGCCATGACAAAAGTCCCTATGAGAGAAATAAAGAGATGTATGACCCTGTGTTAATCACTGGAAGATTTAAGATCATTAATTAACTTGATTTAAGGAACTGGACTAAATGACTTTACTTCGGCAGATTTAAATAAAACATCCAAGGATCCACACATAGCTTTATTCAACAATGTGTCAGCAAAAATTGTCAAACTACAGATAATTTGCAGATATGGAGCTAAAACCTCCGAGCTGGGATGTGCAGTCCTTTAATGTCATGGAAGGAGCTCATTACTTTTACCACAGAACACAGTTCTGTTTCCATTCACTTTCTGGACCGAGTGCTCTTGTCTTCCCTGATGAGTGGGAGGCAAATCTTGCCCCACAGCATTCCCCTACCTCCAAACCACTTTAATGTCCTAATGATTCCTTCCGTTGCCATCGTGAATGCTAATAAGAAGAGAAAGCTTCCTGCCATGATAGCAATTTCCAGAGGCTTTCCTGCTGCTGTTAATTCAACTGGTGAGAAGCTTTTAACCAGATGTTTGATGTTAGGAGCGCTGAGGAAACTGAGCGCTAGCCACACAAGTTTAATGAGCCAAAGGCATTCACAGAGCCAGAAATACATTACATTTATGTCTGCTTTCAGGGCATGTGCTGCTGCTATTATCCAGAGAAACTCTAATGAGTGCTGCAACACAAGGAGATTGTTAATATTATGAACAGCTAACAGCATGGGTCAGACCCACAGCAATCAGGGAACGATCTGCCAAAGGGATTTAGTTCTAATGGAGAGATGCAGGTAAACTAATAATAAGAAATACGTATAAAGGATGTGATATGTCAGGACGATTTCCTCCCTGTTGGTTTCCATAACTTTAAAAACCTTTTGTATCTGATAATTGAGTATTGCAATTTAAGCCAAAGGTCTTTCGAGGAACATCACACTTTCACAATATCATTATCTCTGATGTCCAAACATCCATGCATCTATTTCTTATAACTGACTTATAACTTCATAGTTATTGTCACTCTTATAACTGTTTTCTCCAGTATCACAGTGATTCACTGAAAGCTGTTTGGACCATCCATGGCTACAAACAGGTTCTGCTAATAGCTACTTGGGCATAATGTTAATGCTTCTAATTTGCCAAAATGTAAACGTGCCAAAATGTAAGGGCACTATTTTACACTCCTGACTGTGAACCCCACTGCTGTAATGTAATCACAATACTGAGTCAGCAGACTGGCTGACAGAACTATACAGATGTAAAATAATAATTTAATTATTGAATATTCAAAGTCTAACTTTACAGCTTTACCTCAATTTCATTAATGTATCAGAACATTTACATTGTGAAGAAATCAGTGAGTGTTTATTTTATATTGTATCATACTATTAAAATGGCCCTACCTAGTTAAATGAATAAATAAATAAATGCAAGGAGAGAAATAGATCAAATGTTTTGCACCTGCACCTTTTAAATGTTCAGGCATTTTCCAAACATTTAGTATCAGATTGCCTGTAAGGATTCATTCAATAAAAACCTGTGACCTTATGCCATCATAGCTGAAATCAAACGCTGCAACTTGCAATTATTTTCAGTATGAAAAAGTATATAACCTTTCATGAACATTATTCCCTGAAGTAACTACTATAATAGTAAATTTTTAACATTTCTCATCTTGTTGCAAATTAATTCAATAATTAACTTGTGGATGAATTAACTAATATTGTATTAGGTCTGGATTGCCTGAGGTTGGCTAATAATATAACTGTAATCATTGTCCAGGAGGAAAACCTAGCCCCCATCAGTAGTGTTACTCTTAATATTTCCAAATATACTTTATACTTACTTTGGCCTATACTTGTACTATTATGTTGTCAATGCACAGAGTTAGTTTTTTACAAACTGCCTTGGTTTTATCAGGGGGAAAATCTATTTTAACCCACATTTCCTTGAAAAAAACCTCTCCCATGTCCCTTAATGTATTTTCTATATCCTTGTGCTGTGTGAGATGATGTTTCTTGAATTCATTTCAGACGTATTCATGGTGCGTCTGTACATATTTTATAGTTCCACCGGGCGGTGCAGCGGAGGGATATGACGCTTGTTATGTATAAAAGGCGCTCCGGGCGCGCTCAGGCAACCAAAGCGCAGACAGCATCAGGAGGAGTAGACGTGACACACTGACTGGAACAATTTGTTTGTGAGTAGCTTCTCCTTTTCAAACTGAACGTCCTCCCTCACTTCTCCTCACTTCTCCTCACTTCTCCTCACTTCTCCTCACTTCTCCTCAGTCTCCGTGTGGTATCTGTTGAATTGTACTGGCGATGAGTGAGTGGCTACATCAGCTGAGTGGCTACATCAGCTGAGTGGCTACATCAGCTGTTTTGGTTGTTAGCCGGGCCGAAGCCTCGGGACGTTAGCCACAGTGTTTGTCACAGCTCAGGTTCAGTCCGCAGGGAACTCATATGAAGTCAACAGAGATCGAAACCCGAGCAGAGCAACTCAGTGGGAGCATCAGCACCGTTGTCAACGACAAACGCCGACTTCAGTTCGTATTCACGTTAGCTTGTTAGCGTTAGCTGGTTAGCTTCAACAGCTGTTCGGGCAGCAGGGCATCAACAATGGGGAAAGGTCTGGTGAAGGTCGCAGAAGAACCGAACACACTTACTCAGTCAGGCCAATGCTGCTGGTTTCATTCTGCAGCTCTTTCATTTTGATAAACGGATTGACGTTAAACGGTGACGTTACAATGACTAGAAAAGCGATCTGACTGTTAGCTTAGCAACAGACGATGACTCTTCAGCTTGTCTATATGAGATGGGGCGTTGTTTCATAAGCTTCATTGATCTCAATGTCCAGATAGGCCTGGAATGTTTTTTTCATGACGACGAGGACTCCTAACTCTCTTAAAAATTCTTCCAACAGTGTCAAGATGCAGATCTTTGTGAAGACCCTGACTGGTAAGACCATCACTTTGGAGGTCGAGCCCAGTGACACCATTGAGAATGTCAAAGCTAAGATCCAGGATAAGGAAGGCATCCCTCCTGACCAGCAGAGGCTGATTTTTGCTGGCAAGCAGCTGGAAGACGGCCGCACCCTGTCAGATTACAACATCCAGAAGGAGTCCACCCTCCATCTTGTGCTCCGCCTGAGAGGAGGTATGCAGATCTTTGTGAAAACCCTGACCGGCAAGACCATCACCCTGGAGGTCGAGCCCAGTGACACCATTGAAAATGTTAAGGCCAAAATCCAGGACAAAGAGGGCATCCCTCCAGACCAGCAGCGTCTCATCTTCGCCGGCAAGCAGCTGGAAGACGGCCGCACTCTCTCCGACTACAACATCCAGAAAGAGTCCACCCTCCATCTGGTCTTGCGTCTGAGAGGAGGTATGCAGATCTTTGTGAAGACCCTCACAGGCAAGACCATCACTCTGGAGGTCGAGCCCAGCGACACCATTGAGAATGTCAAAGCTAAGATCCAGGATAAGGAAGGCATCCCTCCTGACCAGCAGAGGCTGATCTTCGCTGGCAAGCAGCTGGAAGATGGCCGCACCCTGTCCGACTACAATATCCAAAAAGAGTCCACCCTCCATCTTGTCCTCCGTCTGAGAGGAGGAAACTAAGCTGCTCCCCGGTGGCAAAAGATGGCCCCAGTATACAGACCAATTATTCCAGTGTTAGAGTGCACTCCTGATCCAGTGGTCATTCCTTTTTTATTTTTAAAAGAGAAGTTTAAATAAAACTTCTGCACTGCTTTTAATAGTTTAACATTTTGCTGACATTAGCCAACAGTTTTGAGTTTTGCACAATATGATAAAATAGGATGCATGTTTGAAATTGAAATGCTCCTGTCTTTGGCAAGAGTTCGCTAATTGGTAACTAGTTATTTGCTCTGCCCTAAACTGCTGTTTTGTTGTGGGTTTTTTTAAGAGGAGCATACATGGAAATCCTGCTGTTAGGTGTTGATCATTACTAATAAATGACTTCACGCTGTCACCTGCTCTTTTTCTTTCTTCTGAAATAAGGCGACTTCCGTTATGGATGAAAGGTTCAGTGTGTAGAATTTACTGATATCCAGAGGGAATGCTTCATGTTGCAGCTGAAGCTAGGATCACTTCATTCACATGGTACTACAGAAATACATTTAATTTGCCTTGTCTTAGTAGCATTGACAGAATGTGTCCTAGTATTTTTAACAATGTTATTTAGCCACCAGGTGTCATCAGAGACAATTTAATGACCTTATCAGAACTGTTCTCAAGAGGATGAGCCACTTATAATACAGTGCAGCGAGCATCATGGTTCCTCATTTAATTTGTAAAATCTTAAAGTAACTGTAGCTGTTATAAAAACTGCAATAGCTTAATGAAATAAAGTGGCATAAAATGGAAATGCTCAGGGGCAGTACTTGGAAAACTTTGTACATTTACTCAGATATATTTTACAAATATTATATTTAGGTACTTTTTAACTATACTACTGGAGGAAATACAATTTATTTTCTGACTAAAGTTACTAGTAACTGATTTATTATCAACACATATGTTCAACTTTTGAAAACATGTTGCATTATTGATGGATGTATTGCATAACTCTACAGTTCATAAAATGTGAGGCCAGTCAGTGTTTAGGGCCGACAGTGACACTTCAAATGCTGACCAACAACTCAAAATCCAAAGATATTCAGGTTATTATCATCAGTGATGGAATGTGACCACTGATGGTTGTAATAACCAGCCTCTGCACTTCATAAGGTCCAGAGCAGACCCTATGTATTGAGAGGACTGATCTCGAGTACGGGGGGGCTCTTCTGAAACCTTCTCTGAGCCTGTGGTGGGATCAGTCCTTTTCTTTGGAGTGGTCTGCTGGGGCAGCAGCATCTGAGTGCCTGACCCGTGTTTGAGGGTTAAATACTCAGATTCAAGGCGTTTTACGTGTTTTCCATTCACCCATTCACACACACATTCATACAGTGCATCTATTAGGAGCATGTTTTGTTCTATGAGGGGCTATTTTGGGTTCAGCATCTATCCCAAGGAAACGTCAGCATGCAGATGGGGTAGACTGGGGATTGAGCTCTCTGAACTTCTGGTTGGAGGGTGACCACTCTACCCCTCAGCCACAGCCGCCCCCAATGCTAATGAACCATGTTCAACTTTAGACAAAACAAACCAACAAAACAGTTTTTAAATGCAGTTTTATTACATGTTCAGGGCGTAACATCCATAATGCACACAAACCAACATCTATACCATTATTTGAATGCACAAGAAAAGAGGAGAAGAAAGGGACAAAATAGACAAGTAATGATCTGCAATTCTGAACACGGAAGTCTCAGAATGGGTTCATGTATTTATTCTTCACACATTTTGGTTGTTTCTTTCTATTCATGTCACTACAGGAAACCGGTTTCTGAAGAGCTATAGTTTTGGTTGGGGAGCTGTAAAATACGCTGACATCACATCTGATAAAAATCTATTTATGAAGTTGCAAAGAGCAGTCCGGCCTCTAAAACTCTGAATTTAGTCAGATACACGGAGAGTATGGAACACTTTGCACCTTCCTGCTGTGTGTGTGTGTGTTGTGCAGGTTGTGTTTACAGAATGGTCTCAGCACAGGAGTCACCAAAGTGAGCATGCAGGTGTCTGTCAAAGTCTCTGTGTGGTTGTGGGTCTACAGCTGGGTAATGTTGTTCGGAGTAGAGGCCGGACTCTGACTCGCTGTCAGACTCCACCTGGACGCTGACCTGGGGCACAGGCTGCTGGGGCACAGGCTGCTGGGGCACGAGCTGCTGGGGCACGGGCTGCTGGGGCGGCGGCCGTGACACGAAGTCTCCAAAGACGAGGCCCGTCTGGGAGTGGACAGGTGAGGGGGGGCAGGAGATCTTCAGGCGCAGGGTGATGCTGAGGAACAGTGGTGGGAACCGGCCATGTTACACCTCTACTCACCACCTCACACACACACACACACTCAGATGTCAGTTTATTAGGAACACCTGACTGAAACTTACACAGTCCTTTACATACACTGTACGTCCTGCAATTAATCCTCCATCATATATTTCTAGAGGTGCAAAGTAACTAAGTGCATGAGGTATTTTGCACCTCATGCAATTTTATTCCTGTACTTTAGCTCCTACATTTCAGAGGGTTGTGCTGCAGTTGAATTTTCTTCTGATATACTCAGAGTGTTTGTATTACAATGTCCACCCCCTGAATAAGTGGTGGGCGAATTCAGATGGTTTACTTAAGTGAAATAATCATACTATGTTGTGAATGTACTAGGTTACAAGTAAAAGTACTGCATTTATATATTCATTAATAGTAAAAAGTTAATGAAGTCACTCGTGCTCATTAGAGCTGCAACAATAAGTCAATTAATTGAATAGTCAATAGACACAACATTTGATTGATGATTGATTAATCCTCTGATTGCCCGAACAATCATGACAAAGATTCAAGCTTCTCTTCTTTTACATGTTTTACATCAGAGTAGATTAAATATGGTTTTATAGAGCGATTAATCATGAAAACAACTTGCAGATAAATGAATGAAATATTTTTAGTGATCATATATCAAAAATCTATTTTAGGTTTCTATTTTCAAAGCTCCTGCACATCCGTACTCCTGTACACCTATTCAGGTGTTTAGACCCGTGTGGATCACATCTCCCTCATGTTTATGTTATGTTTGATTTTATCATTTTATTTTATTTGTCAAATAAAAGACGCAGTAATTCCCTCTGAAATGTGGTGAGATAGAGGTATGAAGCTGCAAAACCCTTTTGACCATACAGATACCCAAATATTGAATTCAAGTACAGTATGGGGTAGTTAACGGTAGTTCATTTCTTTCCACAGATGGAAATAAAATAAAATAAAAGCACAATAACTGTTGACGAGGCCCACAAACACATACATTCTTCAAAAGTAGTTTCAGAAGAGTTGAATCAACCTTCATGACGAAGGATGTATTGTAGGTCTGTTGCATCAGGCTGCTTTGCTTTGAGCTGGTGTGCCTAATAAACTGACAACTGTGTGTAGGGAGCACATACACACATACACAGTGGGAGTCCTGAAGCTTTCATAAAAAATGTGAAATGTGTGCCTGTCTTTCATTGAAGGTGCAGCGTGTTACATAAATTAGAATTTCACCTAAACAGCTTTGACGCTGAGCCACTTTTTATGAGGGCCACTTTGATTTGACCATTAAATAGCTATAGAGGGCGCTGTTTATCAAGCTTTGAAGCTGAAGCTGTCAGGGTTTGACACACTGGCAGGCGGCTGAAGGAGTGAAATGAAATGAATGAATGAAAGATGTGGGTCGCAAGGAGAAGCTGGCATAGAAAAGTCTCAGGGCAAATGAGTTAAAGTATCTGTTACATTTCTTAAGAACAAGCACATTTAACGGCTTTGGTTCAGGAGGTAGAGCTGGTTGTCCACTAACCAGAGGGTCGGTGGCTCGATCCCAGCCCCCCCCCCATTTCAAGTGCCCATGTCCCCTTGACTGAGCCCCTGTGTGAATGTGTGAGCGATGCAAGTGCTGCACATAGATGCACTGTATGAATGTGTGTCTGAATAAGGGAATGGCAAAACTGTACTGTAAGGAGCTTGGATATTTTTAGAATTTTCTATTACTAGACATACAGAAAAGTAGGATTCAAATATTATTTGTCAAATGTTGTGTGGTTACATCTAAGTTCTGTTTTTCCTCCATTGTTTTGATGCATTGTAAGAAATAAAAGCCTCGACACAAATATATAAACGTTCCCCTGATGTCCAAGGAGAAAATATTGGTCTTTTCCCAATGGAAATCTTAGGTTCAAATATGGTGATACAAACAAATTAAAATAAAATTAACCTCACCTCACCCTCTCCTTCCAAACATGAAAAAGAACCTGTGGTAGCTTCAGTTGTCATAAAAATACATCCTCCGCAAAGAGAACCCCCTTGATTTAAATATAAAGTATTTGAATATTAAGGGCCTTTTCTAGGGTAAAGAAAACTACAATTCAATACAATTTAGATGAAATGAACTAGTGAAAACATCATGACGATTATTCTACATTAAATTTCTGCCAATAGATTCCTCTCACCTAAATCTTACACACTGGACCTTTAAACTTATCCTTTTAGATTTCAGCAAATTCATTTGCAGTTTAGAACAGACTTGTCTGCAGGCATCAAACCAATGGAGAAAAATACTTTTCACAAGTTGCAACTATCTGTCAAAAAACAAAGCAATAGCATTGTACTGTTCTGACAGCTGCGAGCAGGTACTGTAAAATGAGATTGGGTATAATCAGCAGTCACACAGGAACACTGTGGCGTGCCAACACCTGCAGGCACGCTGGAAATGTGAAATGCAACGTGACGCCTGAGAGCCCTCTGACTGGATCAATGTGCTTTTTCACAATGGAGAAATAAGGTACGCTACAAATAGAAATGCAACACGAGCCAATTTAAAAAGGGAAATTGGTATTTTCAAAAGAAACAACCAAAATCCTGTCATGGTGGAAAACCTTGTACATACTCATTGATATAAAGAGGGTGGACAACATATTCAAAACATCTCCCAGCGTTGCAACAATGCATTTCATCAGCAGCAATGACTACATCCTCCAAACTGCCCGAGTAAACAGCTTCAACAGAAACTCAACATCTTGGAGGAGGAGGACCTCAAGATGGACTGTGGGACTTATTGGACATAATAACCTGGGAACTGGGATGATAACTCATTCTAACCTCTCACAATATTATTTATAGAAATAGTAGAGATAAAGAAACAACTATTCAAGCCTGAAATCTGCTTTGAATTGAAATTTGAATACACTGTCGACATCAGTGGCAGGTCACAGTGACCATCCAGATACAAATGCCTTGAAGCCAATTTGAATATTTTAATCAATGTAGCTATGCCAGGATCTACAACTAAACAAGCTGACAGAGGCATTCAGGAACTTTAGTGTTTCTTTTTCCTTACAGGCAGAACTCAGT